CAAACCCTAAACCCTAAACCCTAAACCCTAAACCCTAAACCCCAAACCCCAAACCCCAAACCCTAAACCCTAAACCCTAAACCCTAAACCCTAAACCCTAAACCCTAAACCCTAAACCCTAAACCCTGAACCCTGAACCCTGAACCCTGAACCCTGAACCCTGAACCCTAAACCCTAAACCCTAAACCCTAAACCCTAAACCAAACCTCGGACGCACAGTAGGCCCTCATTCCCTTCTTGGGGGCGTTTAATTACATTCTAAACCCTACACCCTTTAAACCCAAAAGGCCACCCTTATTCCTAAGGCACGCTTGGGTCCAGGAACTCTTCGGGTAGTTTCAGTTTGAGTGGCGTGAATATGGTCCCTTACCTCGTTTAAAAGGGTTGAGGCATGGGCCCTAAACCCTAAACCCTAAACCCTAAACCCCGTTTGAGTGCCCATACTAAGGGACCATGTAACTACCCTAAGACTACAAGCCCAAACCCAAATCCTGCCCCCTAGGTTCGCCAAGTACGACCACGGTGATGAGGCGTTTAGGGTTTAGGGTTTAGGGTTTAGGGTTTAGGGTTTAGGGTTTAGGGTTTAGGGTTTAGGGCGTCTCGCCGCGCAGCGGCAGTAAGTACCATGTGTAAATGGCGCCCCTACACACCCAGGGGGTCCTGGAGGGGCCAGGGGGGGCCAGGGGGGCGGGGGGAGTTCCGAAGATCAGGATCCTGTTTAAGTTTAGGCGCCACTCTGGTGGCCGAGTGGCAAGGTTATTCGACCACTCTCTAATGGCTCCACCCATTGTCCATCCAGTAAAGGACATTAGGGTTTAGGGTTTAGGGTTTAGGGTTTAGGGTTTAGGTTTAGGGAACACTTCTTTCCACTCCCGGCAGGGCTCCGACTTGAAGGTTCATGGGACTTGCTAACCAATTAAAGCTGTACATTAAAACCCTACTTATAATACCCCTAAATGGCCTTATAGGGGTTATCCCAATTATAAGTAGGGTTATAATACCCCTAAAGGGCCTGATAGGGGTTATCCCAATTATAAGTAGGGTTATAAGTACATTTAATACCTGGTTAGCAAGTCCCACGAACCTTCAAGTACTCCCCTTTTGAAGGCCCCCGAACTCCCTCCATGAACCCAAGAAACGAAGGGCACCTCTCGTTCTCGTATGGGGGGGCCTAGCTTTACACCTCTCAACACTAAACTAGGGTTTAAGGTTGGGTTAAGGTTTAGGGTTACCGGATTAGGGTTGCGGATGTAGGGTTTAGGGTTTAGGGCTTACAGTTTAGGGTTTAGCGTCCAGAGCACCTCCCTGGAAACAAACAAGCCTGCTGGTTTCAGGCAAACCGGGAGAACGACATTGGTGATGCCGAGAGGCCCGAGCTAAGCAGCTCAACCGTGTAGGCTTTGGATTGCCCTAAACCCTAAACCCTAAACCCTAAACCCTAAACCCTCAACCCTCGTTTAGGCTTCGAAGCGTAATCACCGCACCTGAACTGCTTACATGAACGGCTTGTTCAGGGTTGAGAGTTGAGGGCTTACCCGAGGGCTGAGTCACCCCGCCCCCCCAACACCCCAAGCCATGCTCCCTACAAAAGCAAGACCTGTAAAACCCAACTATCCCATCATCAAACCGAAGTGCAAGCGCAACACCTTTGTTTTGTAGATTGCCTAAGAAACCGGCCTTTCGAAATAAGAAAAACAAAAGCCTACTGACCCTAAGCCCTAAACCCTAATCCCCAAACCCTAACGCCTCAGGCCTACTTCCTCGTGAGCCCTAAGCTCTTACAGCGCAAAGCCCTATACTGCGCCAGCTCGCAAATCGAATCCCCAAGCATGCAGAAGAACACATGAATCTTTGCGGGTGACACGCCCTGTTCATAAACATTTTGAGGCAACATGCCCAAAGACAAAGCCGGCACACCGGAATCATCGAAGGTGGGAAAGGAACCCTAAACCCCATGGTCGCAATCAACATACATCAAGGGTTTTGTTTTTGGCTTTATATTTTTCAAAGTTGAGGTAAGACATTGCAGACGATTCTGTTGTAAACCCAGCAGAAATTTGGAACTGGATTCGGAGAACCCTCAGCCCGAAATCCTAACACCCTAAACCAAATCCCTGAACCTTCAAACGGTGGGGCTGCTGGCCCCTAAACCCTAAACCCTAAACCCTAAACCCTAAACCCTAAACCCTAAACCCTAAACCCTAAACCCTAAACCCTAAACCCTATGTATGGCCCACATGTGTTGGCATAACACCTGTCTTTGTGGCAGCCGGCTCACGCCGCAGCCGCCAGCAGCTTCAGAGTTCGAGTTGGGTTTAGGTTGAGAGGTTTAGGGTCGCGAGCTCAGAGTTGTAGAGTGCAACATCGTAGAGTTCACGATCTTCGAGTTTAGGGTTTAGGGTTTAGGGTTTCGGGTTTAGGGTTTAGGGTTTGGGGCGTTCGACTTTCGGAGCTCGGAAGCCATGGCTTTTCGCCGGTCCCAACCCATCCTTCGGCTCCTGTGCCTGGGCGCTCCCTGGCTGCTAAGCAAGCCACGCACCCCTTCATGTCTTAAGGCCTTAAGGCCCTGAACCCTAAACCCTAAACCCTAAACCCGAAACCCTAAACCCTAAACCCTAAACCCTAAACCCTAAACCCTAAACCCTAAACCCTAAACCCTAAACCCTAAACCCTAAACCCTAAACCCTAAACCCTAAACCCTAAACCCTAAACCCTAAACCCTAAACCCTAAACCCTAAACCCTAAACCCTAAACCCTAAACCCTAAACCCTAAACCCTAACCCTAAACCCTAAACTCATCTCTGAGGCTCCTTCAAGTACTTGTAGAACCTTCAAGCAGTTGCCACAGCCATGCCAAAGGGGGCTTTCGGGGAGTGTGGATCCTTGGTATAGTATGGTGTAAAGGGTTTTAGGATTTGGGGTTTGGAGTTTAGGGTTTAGCGCAAAAGTACTAGACTATAAGGAGAAGATGAAAAGGATGAAGAAGAAGGGTCTTTTTCCAAGTCTATTTTCATGCCGCCTTAACTCTGCGTTCAACACCCCTAAATAATGTATCGCGAGGTTAAGGCTGTACGTGTGAACTCAGTCATCTACTGCACAAACATAATGAAGGTAGCGATCACAATGAGCCCCGCGACTGATTTTGAGGAATTCCATGAACGAACTAACTTAATGAATGCGCCCTTTTAAATACATGTTACAGGTAAAAGCTTAATCAAAAAAACATACTGGCACATTTATTGTTGAGGCTAGCTTGGGAAACCCCAGCCCTTTGATTTAAGGTGTATAGGGAGGGAACCCTAGAAGGGATCTTTAATCTGATTCCCTTCTATAAGCCCTATATGTATGTGTGCATATATATATATATACATATATATATATATATGTATTCATATTTGTATTTATATCTATATTTCTATTCATATGCACATGTACGTTTATATGTTAATATTGTATTTATATACCTTGTATAGCCCCTACATACCGAACGGGCCCCTAAATAGCTTCTAACCCTCTAAGCAAGCACAAAACCTGAACCCGAAGCCGTTGGGGTCGAGGCAACTAGAACTTTAAGCTCACCAGGGTTTTGGGGTGTCGGGTTGATGGTTTAGGGGCCCTAAACCCGACACCCCTAAAGTGACCTAAACCTTCAACCACCCGATTCCCGAATCCCTCAACCCCCGCACCTCGAATCCTTTACCCCCACCCCCCCCCCCACCCCCCCGCCCTCACCCCCTAAACCCTAAACCCTCAACCCTAAACCATAAGGTCCTCGCACTGGGCCTGCAACAGATGTGGGGGTTGGCCTTTGTGGGACCAGCTCACTGCCGTGGCGGCCTGAGTCTGTGCTGTGCAGGGTTTAGAGGGTTTAGAGGGTTTAGGGGGTTTAGGGTTTAGGGGGTTTGGGGCTGAGGGTTTAGGACCGAGGGTTTAGCGTGGAGGGTTTAGGGTTGAGGGTTTCAGGTTGATTGTAGAGGTGGAAGGGTTTTGGGGTTTGTGGGGGTTAAGGTCTAGCAGCTTGGGGGTTTGATTGATTTAGAGCGTGGCCCTCTTTGACCTGGAATAGCACGCAGATGCTGGTGACGGTATCCAGGTTAGTGGCAAACTCAAGTTGCCTTTCGGGATTGAACCTGAGCCCCAAGCCCTAAACCCTAAACCCTAAACCCTAAACCCTAAACCCTAAACCCTAAGCCCTAAGCCCTAAGCCCTAAACCCGAAGCCCGGCGCGCCAAACCCGGAAGCCCGAAAACTTGAAACCCGACAGGGAGGATAGGGGGACTTAGAGGAAGTTTCGGGTTTCGGGTTTAGGGTTTAGGGTTTTAGGGTTTAGGGTTTAGGGTTTTAGGGTTTAGGGTTTTAGGGTTTCGGGTTTCGGGTTTCGGGTTTAGATTTCAGGGTAGTTTCATGGGCCCTTAATATTGTCCCTAACCTCCTTTACAGGGTTCTGATGCATGGGCCCTCAACTCTTATGGGGTATATAAGGGTATATCAGGCGTACCCTTTAAGGGCACATACTAAGGGACCATGTACCTACCCGTAGAGTTTAGGGTTTCGGGTTTCGGGTTTGGCTAGGGTTTCGGGTGTGCCTTAGGCACAACGTAGAGATATAAGTACATACTCTGAAAACGACCCTCATCGGGGTCAACCTACTTAATAACGCTCCCCCTAAACCCTAAACCTAAACCCCAAACCCCAAACCCTAAACCCTAAACCCTAAACCCTAAACCCTAAACCCTCCTACTTACTCTAAGCCCCTGATCCTCCGAAGTGAAGACTCGCCCCGCAGTCTGTGCATCAGGAGGGACCGCTAGAGCGATTGATCGGAGGTGTTTAGGGTTTAGGGTTTAGGGTTTAGGGTTTAGGGTTTAGGGTTTAGGGTTTAGGGCTTGTTGGCATGCAAATGTTGCATTGCTATCGATACTGATAGAGTATTCAGAGTATTCAGTTTAGCCCCCCCCTCAGAAGTAGCTCTGGCTTCATCTCACCTCTATGTTTCTCAGGAGGGCTACGGGCGAGATCCGTGTCGAGCAAAGCGCCTGAGCAGAAACGTCGCAGTTCAGGTTTTGTTGTTCAGGGCTTAGGGTTTAGGGTTTAGGGTTTGGGGTTTGGGGTTTAGGGTTTAGGGTTCAGGGAATATGGGGTTTAGGGTCGAGAGCGCAGGCGGAGGCGGAGCCGCAAGAGCAGCCGCCCGCCGTGGACGATGAGAAGGTCTTTGATGACGCACGGCCGGGTGTACGGTTTAGGGTTTAGGGTTTAGGGTTTAGGGTTTAGGGTTTAGGGTTTAGGGTTTGCTGGAACTAAAGTCATCGGGCGTTTAGTGGATGGAGGGGGGCTTCCAGATGCAACCCGAGGTTATACATTATATGGGTTCCCCCTACCTACCTCTATACTACCCACCTAGGTCCTCCCCATAATTAAGGCTGTGTAGGGAGAATTAAGCCTAACTAAGGTCATGTAAGGGGTCAACCTCGAAGGGGTTGCATAGAGGGGGGTAGTAGGGGGAACCCATGAGAAAGAACAACTCCCTAAGGCTCCCAAAGATTCCCAAAGCTTCCCTACGGTTCCCTAGGTAGCTACCCCCCCCTATGAACCCCCCCCTCCCTTAAGGACCCTAGAGCAAACTCGAAACCTGAAAACTCCAAACTCTAACCCAGAGCCCTAAACACTAAACCATAAGTAATAAGTGCTTGCGATGGTTTGGGGTTTTGGGTTTGGTGCATATGAGGCTTAGAGGCTGGAAAGGGCCGCGGAATCCTCAGCGCCATGCCTTTCCTGGGCCAGGGTTTAGGGTTTGCCGCTAACCACCCTAAATCCTAAACCCTAAAACCCTAAACCCTAAACCCTAAACCCTAAACCCTAAACCCTAAACCCTAAACCCTACTTGAAGGATCATGGGTCGAACCTTCAAGGAGGCTCCAAGGAGGCTTCGGGTGTTAAGTTTCCGAAGCCCTAACCCCGAAACCCTATGTTCTTTACAAACCCCTAGACCCCTAAAGTCCTAAGCCTTACAAAGCAAGCCTAGATTCAAGCCTAAAACCCGAAGAGGGCTGGGGGTTTTGAGTTTGAGGCCGTTTAGGGACGAGGATAGGGTTTAGGGTTTAGGGCATTTAGGGCTTAGGGCTCAGGGAACCCTCAACCCTAAACCCTAAACCCTACACCTTTAAACCCTAAACCCTCCCTTAAACCCTAACCCTAAACCCTTAACCCCTAAACCCTAAACCCTAAACCCTAAAACCCTAAACCCTAAACCCTAAACCCTAAACCCTAAGCCCTAAGCCCTAAGCCCTAAACCCTAAACCCTAAACCCTAAACCCTAAACCCTAAACCCTAGCAGCTGAGGATTGGTTCGACACGACCGATGCCACCAGCGGAGGAGTCTTTTGGCTTTGGCTTCTCCCGGTCTCCGCGGTCCTTTTCTATGCTTCATGGCCTGGTTTAAGGTTTAGGGTTTAGGGTTTAGGGTTTAGGGTTTAGGGTTTAGGGTCTAGGGTCTAGGGTCTAGGGTTTAGGGTTTAGGGTTTAGGGTTTAGGGTTTAGTTCAGTAACTGAACCACTTGGCAACTGTTGCCCCTGCCGTGACCCTAAACCACTTATCGCCACAGTCCGAAAGACAGAACCTAAACACCAAGCCCCGAAGCACTTCGTGTTCAGATTCTGGCTGCCTCTAAGCCTTACACGCCCCGTAAGAACCCCCCCAAAACAGAAGATATTCTTCCTTGTAAGGGTAATACCGGGATTTTTCTCTTTGTTTTCGCCATTAGTAGTAACCCTCAACCATACCCTTGTGTTTAAACCCGAAACCCGAAACCCTAAACCCTGAACCCTAAACCCTAAACCCTAAACCGCATCAGCTCGCTGATCCGGCTTCCCCCAGGTCTACCTCGACCTCATCTACGGCGAGAAGTGCGTCAATCAGTATCTGAATGCGTCCCTTGGCAGGCAAAGCCCTTTAGGGTTTGGGGTCTGGGGTTTGGGGTTTAGGGTTGAGGGTTAAACCCCCAAAGCCCCAAACCCCGAAACTAAACCCTAAACATCCAAGTTCCTTGAAATACCCAAAATATTAGGGGTGGCCTTACAATCGTAAACCCTAAACCCTAAACCCTAAACCGAGGACTATGATAATTTCCAGAAGTGACCATCTGAGAAAACTCCGAAAATAGGGGTCTGCGCCTTTTGGGGGGGGGAGTCGCTCTAAGGGGATTCTGTTTCATTTGGAGAAGACCGTTCCCCTTATTGCTGGAGATGCCCTAAACCCTAAACCCCAAACCCTAAACCCTAGGCCCGAACTGCATGCTTTACGATGCGTTTGGGCTAAAGCGGTTTACCGGTCTGGGGTTGATGGCTTCGGTGGGGTGGAGTCTTGGCTTCTGTTGGGCTTCAGGGTTTAGGGTTCAGGGTTCAGGGTTTAGGGTTTAGGGTTTAGAGCTACGTGAATTGAGCTTCTTTGAGCTTAGGTGGGTGTCTGCAGGGGATGAAGACTCGTACCCGTAAGGTTGTACCCCTAAAGGTTCAGGTTTAGGGTTCAGGGTTCAGGGTTCAGGGTTCAGGGTTCAGGGTTTAGGGTTTAGGGTTTAGGGTTTAGGGTGTAGGGTTTAGGGTTCCCCTAATATACTCCCAAATATGGCCCTCGTAGTCCTTTTGGGATCCTTACAAAGGTACCCCCAAAACCAACCTTAAGAGTCCAAGGTACAACCCCTAGACAGCCCTAAGCCCTAAGCCCCAAGCCCCAAACCCTAAACCCTAAACCCTAAACCCTCAACCCTAAACCCTAAACCCTAAACCCTCCAAAACCCATGGGTACAACCTTAAGGGTGCAAGGTAGAACCCCTAGATCTGCTAAGGAGCGGTGCCTTTTGCTACCAGACTGAGCTGCCCTCCGCGCTGTCTAAGCTCGCCAGTGCATGAGTGGCCGCCCTAAACCCTAAACCCTAAACCCTAAACCCTAAACCCTAAACCCTAAACCCTAAACCCTAAACCCTAAACCCTAAACCCTAAACCCTAAACCCTAAACCCAACTCCTTAACTTGAAATCTAAGCCTGGGCTTAAAGCTGATCGTGGAGAGCTTGCAATCGCGTAGTCATCTCAACCTAAATCCAGATTCTCACGTCCAACGGTTTAGGGTTTGGGTTTAGGGGCCACACTTTATCCCTCAACCGGAGCCCTAAGCCCTAAACCCTAAAGCTGAACGCTAGGCCGCTCATTGGTGTGGAAGTAGTTCGGTCTGCATGTACAGCGCAGTTTTCTTAGCATTTTCTTGTGTCGGAAAGTGCGGAAGCCATATGGGGGAACCAACGTTGTTTTGGTTTGTGGGCCTGCGGTACTTTGCAGACATGTTTTGTAGAGATTGCAGCGGAAAGATATGGGCCCCACCTAAAGCGATAACCTTAGTTACCACTTTTCAACCTGTTTTGCTTGATGTGGTCCCGCAGTCCCATAGTATGTAAAGCGATATGGGCCCCACGTAAAGCGATAACGTGGTATCCCGCGACCTCGCACCGTGTAAAGTAATTTTGTCCGTCGCTCATATATGCCTTCGGTCAATATTGTGCATCCAAAATATTACGCATATTTTTCCAAAAATTTAAGGTCTCCTACCCTAAACCCAAAACTCTAAACCACCCTAAACCCTAAAACCGTAATTTTGGGGTCGAAATAATTACTGATAGTATTCCCTTATGTTCCCTCTATACTTATGCTATAATAAACTGCAAAACCTATTCTTATTTTTCAGGCCCCTATAGACAGCTGTACGCCGAACCCCTGGAAGCTCATCTAGACGAGTCATCCCCTTGGGTTTCGCGCATCCGCATTTTCTGGACTCACAACTCACATAGATGGCATACCCTGCAGGCAGCGAATCCCTGAAACAGAAAGCGTCTTGGGGTAGTCTCAGGGTCCCTTGTTTTGGCCCCTTACCTTGTTTATATTATGGTTCTGCATAAGGTATGTAAGAGCTGTATGAGGGTGTAAGCCGTAGCACAAGTCCCGGTCCGAATTCCTGAACCCCAAGGTCTGGACCCTAAACTCAAAACAACAACCAAGCCCCAAGCCCTGACACACCTCAGAAATGTTCATGGTTTAGGTTTTTGGGTTTTAGGGTTGTAGGGGTTCAGAGTCCCCTCCCAGTTTAACTTCCTATGCAGCCCATCCCTAAACCCTAAACCCTAAACCCTAAACCCTAAACCCTAAACCGGTCTCGAGAGCCATGTGCAGGCTCAACATCAGCTCGTACCCGGCACTGTTTCTCATTACCAGCGGGCGGCATGCTCTCTGGCCGAAGTGTGCCCCAAACCCTAAACCCTAAACTCTAAACCCTAAACCCTAATTAATTAAAGTTACGGGCTCAGGGTTTAGGGTTTAGGGTTTAGGGATATCTGGTAGGCACGCAAGGTAGCAGGGCTCCTACTGTTGCCACTATTCTGTTCCTAGAGTCTTGCATCATGCGTTCTTTCAGCTCTACGCGTGTTGTACACTGTTATATTTGAGTCTCTGAGCTACAGTCATTCACTTCTAATACATAACATTGCATACAGATCGGCACTTACTTACCTCACAGGTTAATGTTGGGGCTAGGGGTATGTACACACATATAGACCCGAACTAGTCCTCAAACCTATTTACGTATGTGTATATATATATATATATCATGTATACGTCTAGGGTGTATATGTTGTGTACCTATTGGGTAGTAGGATTAAGCGTCCCTTCGTGGGGTCCTTCCTTGATTATGGGCTCTCTAAAGAACAAATAGGGTTTAGGGTTTAGGGTTTCGGGCTTGTACTACAACAAATACCTTCCGGGAGCCAACGAGGTCAAAGCATCCTACTACGCTTGTATCACCAATAGGAAAATATGGAACCCTAAACCCTCAACCCTCAACCCCAAACCCTCAACCCTAAACCCTAAACCCCCTGCTGGCGACCTAAGTATTCAGTAGCACCGCATAGGGTGGGAGTGGGCCAAACCCTCCACCGCTGAACCCCTGAACCCGGAAAACCGCAAACCCCTAGATACCCTAAACCCTAAACGGTTTAAACCCTGAATCCGGGATCCGACATGGACCTCAGGAACAGTTTTCCTTGCACACGGCAGAGGAGGCGCAGGGTTTGAGCTTGGGGCGTGGAGTTTAGGGTTTAGGGTCTGAAGGTTTAGGGCTTCGGTGAAGAACCTCCCTTGTTTTTTGTTTTCGGTGCAGCCTTTCAGTGGCCTGGGCGTCGCTACGCCTGGGGCCGAAACCCAGAAACTTGAGCGTTTGATTAGGGTCTTGCCCTAGCCCTAAAACCTAAACCCAAAACCCGAAGGTTTCCAAGAGTTAGGCCAGCCGAGCTTGGGTAGCGAAGCCCTTGCCCGTACTTAAAGTTGAATGGGTCGTCATCAATAAGGATTTAATTCGTGATGAAGCGTGGCTAGAACATTCAACTAATAAGGGATGCTGCCCACGAACCTTGAGGCAAGATCTGAGATTCTGCCGAAGGATAGCAGTCTGATCACTCGCGGGCTTCGTCTGTGGTGTCTAATGCTGTAAAAGTCACCGCACCCTACCCCCCCCCCCCCCCCCCCACACCGCCCAATTTTTTCGAGATTAGCTTTCAGTCCCCCTAAACCCTAAGCCCTAAGCCCTGAACCCTAAACCCTTTTCCAGGGTGTTTAGGGTTTTTTGGGGTTATTAAGACGCATGGGGGCTCCCGGAGCGCCAAATCACCCCGAAGTTCGAGAACCCGGGCCCTAGACCCCGAACCCTGAACCCTAAACCCTAACTGGGTTTAGGGTTTAGGGTTTAGGGTTTAGGGTCTAGGGTCTAGGGTCTAGGGTTTAGGGTTTAGGGTTTAGGGTTTAGGGTTTAGGGTCTAGGGTTTAGGGTTTAGGGTTTAGGGTTTAGGGTTCGCCTTGGTGGATGCCCTGGACGTGACGGACCTCATGGAGCATGCAGAGAATCCGGCTGCGAAGGACTGCGCCTCACTGTCTCCTTGCGTTATCCGGGTTTAGGGTTTAGGGTTTAGGGTTTAGGGTTCAGGGTTTAGGGTTTAGGGTTTAGGGTTGTTTAGGGTTCAGGGCTTTGGGTTTAGGGTTGAAGGGTAATTGAAGGGCTTCTAGGGTTTCGGGTTTAGGGTTTAGGTTCTTACTCCCTTGGAACAGACTTCTCTAGACCAGACCACCAGGGTTTGGGTTTGGGATTAGGTATGTGGGCTGCTGCTGCTGCTGCTAGTTTTCGGCTGGCCATCATCGGCGGCTCCGGTCGTAATCTGCAGCCCCGCTTTTCCATGGCCTGCACGATGATGGGCATGCGGAAGCTCATCTTGATATGGCTCTGTGGCACTGGGGATGCGTTAACCGACGCGTACTTCCTGTATCTTTGTCATAGTTGGGTAACATTTTACTTGTTTAAGGGTACTTAAACCCAATAAGGAGTAAGAATGTGAAGTTTTCCCAACAATGACAAGGTATGAGAAGATTGCTGCGCATGAGGACACCCGGCCCGTCATGCTTGCTCTCTGCATCTGCTGCGCCTTTTTGCTCGCGTGCTTGCATGGCGCCAAAGCAATCGACATTTCGGTGATGATGGCAGATGACTGGTCGCGGAAGAACCTTGAAGAAGCTTCGGTAAGCACCGCAACCAGCCCGGCATTGCTCACGATAGCCATTTTTCGGCCATCTGTCCTTCGTGATTACGTGGATTTCATCGAGACACCTCACCCAGGGAATAGCAGGATGCTTGCGGATTTGATCTTTGAGGACATACCCCTGCTTTCCCTCAACATTTTCGACATCAGCCAGTCTGGCTCCTCGGCAAGCATGTTGAACTGGGCCGCTCTGGGTACGTCAATCGCCAACATCTTGGTGTGTTGTCTGCTGCTTGGAGCCCAGTGGTACTCTTTTCCCTTTTTTTGGGTTCAAGTTTCCCTGATATAAACCTCACCAACCCAAAAAAGGGTGCCCTTATTATTATGTGGTTACTGGGGTACCAAGGCTGATTCGGAGCAATGACACCGAATCGAGCTCCAAGACGGTGAGCTCGAAAACTGCGGATGGTGTTCCAGCAGCGAACTCGGCGCTGGGAGCCGTCGAAGCCTAGGTAGGCCCTTGGGATGTTTCATATGATCCCTTAGTGGCTTTAAGAGGATTATAGTGGGGAATATGATATATGTATATTTTCCCTTATTTTTGGGGTTTAAGAGGACTGTGTTTTCCCTGATTTAGGGGTTAAGAGAGGGTCTTAAGGGACAACCTAGAGGCAGTGATCTGAAACTTGACACTTGCTTCGTGCTTGCCTAGGTGTCACGTGTTGCTGGCTTGTAGTTGCTCAGCAGACACGTGTCTTTTTACTTGTGGTTTAGGGTTTAGGGTTTAGGGTTTAGGGTTTAGGGTTTAGGGTTTAGGGTTTAGGGTTTAGGGTTTAGGGTTTGTAACTCTCCGGCAGACAAAAGCTTCCGCCGGTGAGTTCGTTAACCTTAATCTTTGTTAATTATCGTTTTGTGGAAATTCTTGGGACGACATGAACCCTAAAGAGCTGGATCCTATGCACCACATCCCTAAACCCTAAACCCTAAACCCCAAACCCTAAACCCCAAACCCTAATCCCTAAACCCCAAACCCTAAACCCTAAACCCCAAACCCTAAACCCTAAACCCCTTTTAGGCTTCAGGTCGGCCCCAAGGATGCGCATGCCTGCAGAGGAGGTGCAGCACCCTGCGCCAAAATGTCCTGGGCGCAACCTGCAGTGTTCGCTTGGGGTTTAGGGTTTGGGGTTTAGGGTATAGGGTTTAGGGTTTAGGGTTTAGGGGTCTAGGGTTTAGGGTTTAGAGTTTAGAATTTAGGATTTCGGTTTAGGGTCGTGCTTTCTCAGGCTCTTCGCGTGCCCTTCCACCTTAGCTCCCATACTCCTGGGGGGGGGGGGGGGGGGGGGGGGGGGGGGGGGGAGGCCTTTTCCCCCCAACTATTTTTGCGGTTAAGGGTTTAGGGTTTGGGGTTTGGGGTTTAGGGTTGAGGAATATCTTCGGAAACCCCCACATACCAGAGTTCATGCAATGCACAAAGCCAGAAAACAGAGCAAGCTAATCAAAGGAAACAACGAGACTGCAAAACGAGCCGAAGTCAACTGTTGCCGTGCCTTTTTGCTGTCCTCCTAAACCCTAAACCCTAAGCCCTAAACCCTAAACCCCAACGTTCCACTCGTAGTACTACTATGGAAGGAGGCACTCCTAACCTTACATGGTATGGATTTTGGGCAACGAGTTCCACAATAGCACTTGCAGTGGAACCCTAAACCCTAAGCCCTAATCCCTAAACCCGAGACCCTTGTGGAACACCAGTGCCTGCGACCTCTCTCGTCGTGAGGACGCCAGCGCTGTCAGCACCGTGAGCTACAAGACTGTGCAGGGTTTAGGGTTTTCCGGTTTAGGGTTTAGGGTTAAGGGTTTAGGGTGTAGGGTTGAAAGGCTTGCCTTTTGGGGGGTGCATCATTCCATAATAGCAATAGGGTTTAGGGTTTAGGGTTAGGTGGACCCTCAGGGTAACCCTGCTAGAGCCCTTCAAAACATACATCATCCAACCAAGGCGGCTGCCTCGCTTTGTTACAAAACCTGCACAACGCTTTGATCCACGCCGAACATAGACACAATAAAAGAAATGGGGTTTTGGGTTAAAGGGTTTAGGGTTTAGCATTAGGGTTTAGGGTTTAGGGTTTTGGAGGTTGGGCTTCGTGCTTTATAGCATGAGACAAAGTCCATCCCTAAACCCTAAACCCCAAACTTTGCAGCAACCAGTTATTATCTAAGGGCCCTTTCATTGGACTGCAAGCCAACCCCGGCCAACCTGAAACCCGGAACCCTGATCTTGGGGTTCATGGTTTACCCTGAAACCCTAGAACCCTAAACCCCCAAACCCTAAACCCCAAACCCCAAACCCTAAACCCTAGTTACCCTAAACCCTAAACCCCAAACCCTAAACCCTAAACCCTAGTTACCCTAAACCCTAAACCCTAAACCCCAGAACCCTGCGCCTCTTCAGCTCGCGGCCTTCGTGGGCGCGCGTGCGCGCGGCCTTGACGCCGCCAGGGCCCCGGATGTTTGGGGGGGGAGGGGAAGGGGGGTGGGGTTTAGGGTTTAGGGTTTAGGGTTTAGGGTTTTTGGTTTAGGGTTGAAGGGTTGAAGGGTTGAAGGGTTGAAGGGTTGAAGGGTTGAAGGGTTTAAGGGTTTAAGGGTTTAAGGGTTTAGGGGTTTAGGGGTTTAGGGGTTTAGGGGTTAGGGTTTAGGGTTTAGGATCGCCAGCTCTTCCCCTCAGTTTCCTTGCCTCATAATGAGCCTTGTGGCGAGCATCAAACTAGCAGAAAAGTCGCAAGCGAAGTAATCCTTCGTACAAAAGGTATATGAATGAGAAGGAGCAAACCCTAAACCCTAAATCCTAAACCCTAAACCCTAAATCCCTAAACCCCAAAAATGTTTGCGGTAACAGATGCACGGATGATGTTCGCTTTGCCAAAGAGTAGAAACTTCCTTGATACACCTCTCAGCAAATGCACGCCGGCGTGGCATGGGTATACCTAAAACCCTAAAGCCGAAACCCTAAACCCTGAAAGCCGCTCAGGCCTCAGAAGCTCGGATTGAGGGTTGAAAGGCTGAAGCCCCCAGGAACCCTACTTTTTTGGGGGCGTGTAGCTCTGGGGGGTCCCTCAAACCCTAAGTCGTGTTTGGAGTTTGAAGCTTGAAGGCTTGAGGTTTTGGAGTTCAGGGTTAGGGTTTAGGGTTTAGGGTTTAGGTTTAGGGTTTAGGGTTTAGGGTTTAGGGTTTAGGGTTTTGGGTTTTGGGGTTTGGGTTTTGGGTTTAGGGTTTAGGGTTTAGGGTTTAGGGTTTAGGGTTTAGGGGCAAGGGCTTCTTCCTTGAGTTGTTGAGCCGGAGGACGAGGAAGTGAAGCGGGTGCTCTTGAAGACGCGGCCCATGCTGTATCGTGAGGCCCTCAGCGCGCCCTTCCTCGGGCCGCGACCCGAAGCCCTAAACCCTAAACCCTAAACCCTGAACCCTGAACCCTAAACCCTAGACTCCAAGCCCTAAACCCCAAACCCTAAGCCCTAAACCCTAAACCCTAGACTCCAAAACCCTTCTAAAAGCCGAAAACCTAAAGCCTAAAGCTTAAACCCTGCCTGCAACCTACAAGCCTGCAGCCCACGTGCAAGCAAGATCAGCCTTCAACCCTCAGTCCTCAACCCTCAGTCCTTGCAGGCTTCGAAATTCAGGGTTAAGGGTTTCGGCTTTAGGCTTTACAAGCTAGGTTCTCAGTCGAGAGATAGGGCAGAACCCGAAGTTTTGCGGGAGGTAGGGTTATAGAGAGAGACAGTGTATAACTTCGGTCCACCGTGCACTAGGAGTCTGTATCTCGTGAGAACTGTCATAAGGCCCTTGGGCTGCCCCATTCGGCTGCTACTACTGCAAAAAAATTTGGGGTTTAGGGTTTCTAGCCCCCCAAATCCTAGACCCTAAACCCTATACCCAGTTGCGGGTTTGGAGTTTGTAGGGCTTAAGGGCATTTGGGGTGTAGGGTGCACGTGTTGAGGCTTGCTTCAGGTTCTCAAGGGCAGTTCGAAGTATGCTTGGAAGCAGGGCAAATGTTCTTCAAGGTACATGTTACTCTGCGAGTAAGTACCCTAAACCCTAAATCCTAACCGCTCGCCCTAAACCCTAAACCCTAAAACCCCCTAAGACCAGCCTATGGTGTATGGGCTTTCAGGTGTAAGGTGCAACGCCTTAGGCAGCCGCTCTGCAAACTGGTAGCAAGTTGAAGCACCCCTCTTTACATCCAGATCACCACTCCCTAAACCCTAAACCCCAAACCCTAAACCCAGGTGACGATACTCCTTCAGAAGTGGTTCTTGATCTGGAGCCTGAGACGTTTGACGAGGAGGCTCTGCTGTAAGGTTTAAGATGTAATTACGGTTGAGGCCGCCCCCCCCCCCCCCCCCCAACAAAAAAAAATAGATAATAATAATAATAAAATAAATAAATAACCTAAACCCTAAACCCTGAACCCTAAACCCTAAACCCTAAACCCTAAACCCTAAACCCTAAACCCTAAACCCTAAACCCTAAACCCTAAACCCTAAACCCTAAACCCTAAACCCTAAACCCTAAACCCTAAACCCTAAACCCTAACCCTAAACCCTAAACCCTAAACCCTAAACCCTAAACCCTAAACCCTAAACCCTACCATATACCCTATGAACCCAAAACCCCAAGCCCTAAAACTCCAGGCTCCTGCATTGAGGTGCGAGTTTTTCGTTAGGTTCATGCTACGTATGGTTGAGCGCTTGGGGATTTAGGTTTTTTTGGGTTTTAGGTTTTCAGGGGTTTAGGGGTTTAGGGAAAGTTATAACCCTAGAGCATTCTCAACTAGGGTTGCTGAAGCCATGACCCTAAACCCTAAGCTGTTGAGTAAGGCTTCTGAAGTTGCAGTCCTCTTTCGGGCAGACATATCCCCACGTACTTGAAAAACCGGGGCACTTAGCAAGTAGCGATATAAGTACCTCAAATGCAGTTGTAAGTAATTGTAAGTATAGTTATCTTACTTGTAACCCCACTTACTATGCCCCCTGATTCTTCAAGTATAAGTAATAAGTACCCTAAGTGCGAGTTGTAAGTACTTAGAAGCATAGTTACCTTACTTATCACCCCTGAACCTGGAGCATCAAACGGAGCTTGAGCACCCGTGTTCAAGCTTTGGGTGGAACGCCGCCCTCAAACCCTAACCCTAAACCCTAAACCCAAAGCATCCGGCTCAAGCCGCCGACCCTGCATGAGAAACGGTTTTTGGGTCCCCTCAAGGGGGGTCGCGGGTTGCAAAGAACGCCAGGGAGCTGCAGAGAGATGCCAGGGTCGTCAGAGAATTGCCCACAAAATGACACTAAACCCCCTTAAACCCTCCTAAACCCTAAGCCCTAAACCGCCCGAAGCTTTTTGTTGGCCCGCAGGGGGTCTTTAAGAGTTGCGAGGCTCTGGAAATTGCGGTCAGGGTCGCAAAAACTCCCAGAAGAAGCTCTCAGGCTGCCAGGCATCCACAGAAAATCCCAGGAGTCATGGTCCCTGC